CTGTTTAAAGAATCCAGACGGCTAGTAGAATTTAGAACTATTGTTGAGTACAGGAATGTGGCATCATTCAAGCCAGTAGACTTTCAGGTTAATATCCTACCCCAACACAATACGGGTAGTCATAGTTACCGATTTGCAACTGACATAAATAAATAGGTTGTAGCTGTACCCTGTATAGGTTGGATAGAGGATATGCTATGTTAAATATCGTTATTCAGGAAACCTAGTTTCTGTACAGATACAGTATAACCCTGTTAATCCGGACGATACCCTACCCACTGAAATTGTCCGGATTGATAAATGTCCGGATTAACCACAGGTATCATGGGTGTATGATGATATCCCATCATGTTTATGCAGTAGAACCTGTCAACACCGGACCTGGGAACTGACTCTTGAATTATTTCATATTAATATTGGTCTCGGTTATGTGTCTTCATAGCAATCGAGGGGGCATGGGTGGCCCAGTCGTCTAAGGCGCCGCGATTCGCTGTGCAGAGTTGCGTCCCTTTGGCACGCCAGAAACCTATGATTGTGGGTTCGAATCCCGGTTCGCTCCGATTATGTTTCTAGGTTTGTCAGCGCCATACCCGTGCTCGTGGGTTTCACCGAAGTGGTAAACGTCTGAGACCTGCATCACTTCGGGCTTTCCTCCCACAATAAGCTGACACGCCGTGATAAAACTGGAATACTGTTGAAATCGGCGTTAAACCCAACTCACTCACTCACTCATAGCAATCGACGCAATTCCCCTTAAAATCACACTTAACAGGACCGACCATTGTCTAAGCTAAACTATCGGTTCAGACCGATTCCACTTTATATATGCCGTGATATAACTGGAATACTGTTGAAAGCGGCGTTAAACCCAACTCACTCACTCACTCATAGCAATCGACGCAATTCCCCTTAAAATCACACTTAACAGGACCGACCATTGTCTAAGCTAAACTATCGGTTTAGACAGATTCCACTTTGTGTGTGTGTGTGTGTGTGTGTGTGTGTGTGTGTGTGTGTGTGTGTGTGTGTGTGTGTGTGTGTGTGTGTCGGTGGTGGGGGAGTGGGGTGTTGTCCTTGTGGTGGCTCGGGCCTTGTTTCATTGTACAGCCAACTGTATATATTGGTAATATATGCGCATGTATTTTGACTTTAAAGTTCCAAATAAAAACAAGACAGATGCTGTGTTATAATGCACGTGTGTCCAATAAGGCCTAGTCAAACAGTCTGGCATACGCATCGATATGTTCAACTCCCAGCATCTGTCTTCACGCCCATTTGTGTTATAGTTGAACCCTCTTAATCCAGACACCGCTGTAAGGACGTCTACCAATAATCAAAGGGTAAAACTAATAATTCGTTAATCCGGAACTTTGTGATAACGCGCGATCTTTTTTAGAACGGCATCGTTTTTATCATTTAATGTCATTCTAAATATATAAATTGGGAAAGGTATCTTAGCATAAAAAATTGAAATATAATACTATGTTTATGAATAAACACAAAAGACCTGCGCATTGATAACAAGATTACCACACAAAAGGTTCAATAGTCCTGCACCATGACTGTGGAATATATGTAATTTAGAACACAAAACCAATCTAGATTTATATAAATGCAAGTTTAGCCATCTCTATTCCACATGCATCAGGAAAATTATTGTTTTGATATAAATGTATTTTGTAATAAAATATTTCATAGAATATATGTTAGTCTAATAGTTCTAGTACCTTCTAGAATATACATCTCTTCAAAATATACTAAGGTCAATTAGCATTAGAATGGTAATTTCAAAACTGCTTGTTAAAAACATAATTGTATCTTAAATGAAACCTGGAGATATGTAGAACGATCCTCCTCAGTCCCTTGACTGTCATTTAGTCCCAGAAATAAGTTATCTTATTTAAAAATATATATCTATAAAAATAATCCAAATACTTGCCAAATCATGCTGCACTTGAGTTAGCTACTCATGTCTGCCGTTACAGTGTACAAGGTGTGATGTCCACTTGGAATGATTTATGCTTTAACTGTGGTCTATGGTCTGCCTGTCCCCGTAAAAATGTATCGTATACAAAAGTATATTTATTTAACCCTAACCTCTTTCATTGACGCGCGCCACCATGACGTTAAAGTTCCAGCACAGGGAATTATGCCCCTCTATATCTATCTTGTAAAGTAAAGTCAAAATGTTTCCGATAACAACAGCGTTGCGTAAGGAGTTTGACACTCGAACCAAGCTATCCAATCACACAGCTGCAGAGTTTGTGCAAAATATCATGCTAAATGTAGTATAATATACGTGATTTTCACTGTCGCAACAAAAATGGTATTATTTGGATGAGTTGTAAATTCCAAAGCAATAAATTGACATATACTGCAATATCTAATCTGTCATACAGACTCTGAAACAAATATACCCAATATACTCCGTGTAAGTCTATAATGATTGGCAAGTCTAGATTACTACAGTTTCTGAAAATGAAGAGACCCTATAGGATCCTTTTTATTATATTTTATTAAGATAAATTATCAACTGTAGATGTTAGTCTATCTAATTTGAGATATTACGTAAATAATTCCAACATGATTTTAAGTGGTTTGTGTTTTCCTCATTTTCTCGAAACGCGTTTTTATCAATCTGAGGGGGAATAGGTGGCCCAGTCGTCTAGGGCGCCGCGATTCGATGTGCAGAGTTGCGTCCCTTGGGCACGCCAAAAACCTTTGATTGTGGGTTCGAATCCCGGTTCGCCCCGATGATGTTTCTAGGTTTGTCAGCACCATACCCGTCCTCGTGAGTTTCACCGAAGTGGTAAACGTCTGAGACCTGCATCACTTCGGGCTTTCCTCCCACATTAAGCTGACACGCCGTGATATAACTGGAATACTGTTAAAAGCGGCGTTAAACCTCACTCACTCACTCACTCACTCACTTATAAATCTGAACTTTATGTTTTAGTTCATATGTATGAAAATACAAATCAGATATAAACCTTCCATTGTCTCCGCGGATTATGTATAGTGCATCAGGCAATACACGTGTATCCGGACCCAGCCCATATTACCTGACACACGGACGCCCAGTAAGCATTCGACATTCGCAGTACGACGGCCTTGTTCAGGTGATGACTGTACTCCTAGGGAGTGGCAGAGGACTTCATTCATAAAAACGCTATAAATATTACCTCCCCTATATGTGTCATTTTTTATGCGATCTCAACGAAAGCTTGTCCAATTTTATTACTTTTCGCCTGACGCCACATTGCCAAAGTAGGTTGTTATTGAAAATGGACACGACTAATATGATAACTTAACAGTATGGGAACTTTAACTTGCCCATATGTGCCAGGTGTTTTGGTGTTTCTTCTCTGTTTCTCGCCATGGTGATCCGTTAGTCGAGTCAGTGGGTCCACGGGTTAAGTGTTTTAACCGCAGAATCACCTCCCCTGACTTCTCCATATCACTTACCATCCCTGTGGGGACTCCGGGTTAGGATGGCACCAGCAATTTATACCTTTTATTTTTCATTTTTTATTTACGCTTGTCCAGGGTTACTAAATAGATAGGGTGTCATGCTTGGTGACTTGGTTGATTCTGTGTTATCGTACCCCGACTGAGTGGGACGTTGCTCATAATATCAATCACTTGTTTGAACCAGACTCGATTATGTAGACCGTCTTCATACAACTGGAATATTGCTGCGTGCGGCGTTAAATAACAAACACGGATTCACCCAGCTTTTTCATCCATATAACTCCCGTGTTCGTGGGTTTCACAAAAAAATGTGTTTAAGTTGATCTTTCCTCCGACATTAAGCTAACACGCCGTGAAACACGGTTCAAGCGTCGTCTATGTCAATACGCTCACTTATATAGTTGGAATGTGTTGAGTTTTGTTCACGTGTAAAGGATGGTTTCATCCTCCAAGATTAATGTTATTTGCATATGCTCAGACACTCAGCTTAGAGTTGTTCTCCGTAGATACGGTGTTATGAAAGGTAATGCCCAGATATACTGTTCTGGGCTTATAAACACTGGGTATACGTAGATGCTTGTGGAAGCGTGTATCATTGTGAATTCTACATACGGGTCTCGGGACTTTCCAACAACAGCTGGTCCAATCGGCAGCATTTGTAGGGCACAGTCAATGATTTTCAGTGCGCTTCATGTAATGTGCAGCGAGATCAATATTTGACAAATTGATTCTGCCTTATCAACCTTTAGTTTTTCGTGGACCGGTGTTACGATAAATGTTATTAGAGCAGAAACTTTTCCCTGCCTATAGTAGGATTGTCACACAAAGTTAAATTTGTGATGAAAAACAAACTACTTTTAAAATCTTACCATACACGAATGTATGTAGATTATTACTTCTAATTATTGTTGGTATTTTCTCCTTTTGTGTTTGTAAATATCGCATCTATTGATGGTTTTTTGTTGTTTCACTTAGCAATATTCCATCTATATAACGTCGGTGTGTAAATAAACGAGTCTGGACCAGACAATCCAGTGACTGACAACATGAGTATCGATCTACGCAATTAGGATACGATGTCTACTGATGGTGTGAATGATGACAGACAAAACTACGTAGACAAAATGTCCTTGCATGTACGATGAGGGTGTTAAGGTAGGGACAGTAACTTCGAGGGCGAGTCTGGTGTTCGTGGCCACTGATCCTAGTGCGCTGAGGTTAGTTGGTTGGTTTGCTGTTTAACGCCGCTCTCAGCTATATTCCAGCTATATGACGGCGGTCTGTAAATAATCGAGTCTGGACCAGACAATCCAGTGATTAATATCATGAGCATATATCCACGCAATTGGGATCGATGACATGCATCAACCAAGTCAGCGAGCCTGACCACCCGATCCCGTTTGTCGCCTTTTACGACAAGCATAGTCACCCTTTACGGCATGCATGGGTTGCTGAAGACCGCTTCTACCCCCGGAATCTTCACGGGTCTGTGCGCTGAGGATACATATCACATATGACACAACATATTCTGGTACATACATACGTTTTATTCAAATCAAGATAAATTAAATTACAGTTCCGGGTATATGTCATTGTGCAGTTGATTTGCAATTTTACAGGGTAAAAGAAAATACATTTCGTGAAAATCTTTTCTAATGATACAATGGCACGTGATTCACAGCATGGGCATATGTCGAATCACCGGTTTACGAATATTCGTATTTATAAACACACTTTAAACAAGATAATTCCATTCTTGGACTTCATATTTCAAATTTATTTCGTTGTGAAATGTTCATTTCTCCAAGACAGCTGTTGGTTCTGAAGATATTGAGTTTGACCGAGTTGTTAAAGGTCCATTCAGAATACATGTTCAGGTCTGAAGAACACGGGCGAAGGGCCCTCATGTGAATTCCTTCCTCACCTGAAATTATAAATAAACAAATATAAGAAATATAGTTTTGTTGGCTCCATCCGTTATTTTGTAATTAAAATAAAGATTTGAAAACAGAATATATAATTAATTTTATTTCTCAGTGGCAGGGAAAGTGTTTTATTATGATTGACACATGACATGTTGTGTCATTCAACACGCTTCTATCACCTTGTAAAAACTGCACAATGACGTCACCAGTTGATAGTGACACGCATGCGCGGATGAATGTATACCCGGTGATGCTTTCAAATACACCAACCTAAGCATACACTCACCGCGCATGGGCGCCGATTGTCAACGAGCAGTTTTTCTTTTGTGTTAAAATATTTTGCACTGTCATCAGAAATTTCTTTATTGTACTCAATATATGTTGTTTGATCATACACAGTATAAATCCTTATAGAAACTGCGAGGGAAGCTTCCAATGACCAGTACGAGAGTTGACTTGGAGTTATTTCCCTTGGATTATGAAGCGCTTGCTCTTGTAACGAACTCACACCTCTCCATCACACCAAATACCTTTACTTATATCAGATTCATGCACTGATATTAGAATTATTGATTTCATACAGTAAAATAAAGGCAATTAATTATGATCATGCAAACTAGATTGATAAACTGTTTATTGGTGTAGCAACTGATTGAAACCCACGGATGTGTAAACATGACGTTTTCAATTTCCTGACTTACACGATTATGTTTGTCATATTTAGAATTTGCTGACATGATTTACTAAACCCAAACTTAACTGTTCGTTACTGTACTGAGAGTTGACCTGACTGCAGACGTAAAGTACACATCTATTTTATTAAACTATTTCATAACCTTTCAATCTGGTGAATCACATAACTCGTCCCAACTACTGAATACCCGAACACATTCAATACCGTTCAGGTGAATACTGTATAATAGGGTTCCCGTCTTATCATGTTATGCCACGTTCCAATACAGTTTATTCAAATGTAACTTAGTACAAACAAATAATCTGAGAGTGTATAGTGCCGCGTCAACAAATTTTTGTGCCTCACGATGATAACTTACTATTGTACGATTATAACACCAAAGGTCAAATGTGCGAAATCGTTATGAATATATCAAATTTCACTTGTAGGTACATGTCTCATATACACAAAACGGAAAACGTTTTACAAGTACCATACGCAATATTTCCAACAATATGCATTTGATATTCACTGTAGCAAACCCATCAGAGCGTATAATAAAATGCATTAACTGTGGCTGTTGAATATTCCACATTGTATATCCTAACTTGGGGCTAAATGACGGTGTCAGGTGACCCTGGTTGTGGGTACATAGCATGACAAGGCCTTTTGAAGCGGTAAGTAGTGCCTCCCTGTGTACAATTGCTATAAAGAAGCCAAAACATAATGCATGGGTGATGTCTTCTTAGAAATCAAAATCAGAACATTGTTACACCCGGTTGGTTGTATTACCCGTGGTCGTGAGAACGTCTGGGGTCTGTACAGTAAGTCTCTTAAGCGTAACACTATGTGGCTCGCTGATTCGGGGTACTTAATACCTTGGTGGCAAGCCCACCTGACTGAGTATGTCGTTGTTACGTAAACTTCAATTTCAAGTTAAGCCTTCTAATAGATCAGTTGATCTGTATACATACTCGTGTAACGTTTACTTGAGATGGAATAAACTGTTGGTGACGTAACACAATCTCAACTGATGCATTGTACTGAATATACCAAGCGAACTTATATTAACCTTTATGGTATATGATATCATATATCAAGTATCGTTATTTTGTACGCATTATGCAAGGGTTCATGTTTGTTAATAATGCGATCAAGTAAACTCGCACTGTTTTAAGTTGAACGATGGTTAAAAGGGAGTATAGGTCCATGTTATCTGGTGCCAATGTCAAATCCATGAGGTGAGGTGAGGTGAAATGGGGTCGCGTCCAAGATTATTGCACTTATATAGCGACGTGCATGTACGTGTGTGTGTGTGTGTGTGTGTGTGTGGCTGCTTGTACTAGTCCGGACTGATGCCGATTTATAGTGCTAGCTCACTGAGATACCATGCCGCAGTTTAACATGAATACCCCACTCAGACACAGTATACTGACTCCGAGCCGACCAGTCCTTGTTTTAGCCCCTTAATGCCGAGCGCCAGACAGGGTAACAACAAGTACCTTGGTATGACGCGGCCGGGGATCGAACCCCGGACCTTCCGCTCTCCGGGCGGACGCTCTACCACTAGACCACGGAGGCGGTCTTCAAATCCATGACTAGATAGTGTACGTATTGTATGGAACTGAGAATAGCCTCAATGGAACAGGGGCATCAGTAAGGTTTATTTTGATCTATAGCATAACGCTTACGTTGCTGAAAGTAAATTGACATTTGAACGACTTGAAAACTGACACCCTCGTCCTCCTTTTAAAGATCGCTGCACTTAACTTCATAAAGTAAAGTAACACCACCTTGAAACAAAATCAGAAGTTGTAATGAAAATACGTTTGCGAAAACCTGGGAAATGTTTGAATATCTTTAGTCATCATTAGGTTTATTTTATGAACTACGAAGTAGAATAACAGTAAGCCTGTATTGCTTCTTGAAAATATTGAAACTCTAGATTCAATACACATTGCGTTTTTACGGCTTGATTGACGCTAGGGTAAGGTTCAAGTGCTGTGTGCACGTACATGTTCCGGTACTGTTGCGTTTAAGTGTACGGTACACATGCGTTTACACACACAGGTACGGTTTCGGATAAGGATAACAGATAAGGATTCGGGTACTGATGCGTCTACATGTGGAGATACGGGTACGATCAAAGATAAGGGATCGGATATTGATACATTTACACGACAGGTACGGGTACAGATGCGTCTACTCGTAGAGATACGGGTACAACCACACATAAGGGATCGGGTATTGATGCGTTTACACGACAGGTACTGGTACAGATGCGTCTACTCGTAGAGATACGGGTACAACCACACATAAGGGATCGGGTATTGATGCCTTTACACGATACGGTAGCGTTACAGATACGCATACAGGCAGAAGGGGGTGCACATGTGCGGGTATGGGTACAACCATGGGAATGGGTACTTGTAATGATTAAGGACGCTGCGATTTGATTCAATTTACACTGCTTCACTGCACACTGAATTACTCATATTCTGATGCATGGAGGTTCATACAGCCATGGCCTATGTACGCATGAGAAACAGCAAGATGGCGCTTTACCACACCCCGACAGCTGCTTCATCACCCATAACATCTGACTCGATAAGAACCACACCCGCACTGACATCATTTAAAAATGTACATAAATCATAAATACATGTGACGTGTCTCACTTAATCAGGGGGCACGGGTGGCCCAATCGTCTAAGGCGCCGCAATTCGCTGTGCAGAGTTGCGCCCCTTGGGCACGCCAGAAACCTATGATTGTGGGTTCGAATCCCGGTTCGCCCCGATTGTGTTTATAGGTTTGTCAGCACCATACCCGTGCTCGTGGGTTTCCCCGAAGTGGTAAACGTCTGAGACCTGCATCAATTCAGGCTTTCCTCCCACATTAAGCTGACACGCCGTGATATAACTGGAATACTGTTAAAAGCGGGGTTAATCCCAACTCACTCACTTACTTAATCAGTGTAAAATTCAAGTATTTGTGTTGCTACTTTCTGCCATCATGTTGTTGTTTTTAAACACATACCTGAGGTCACTGGCATTCAGTATACATTTGGATTTGATTTTGAATTTTTGGTTTTAAGTAAGATTTACATATTGGATTATGTGGAATAACCTACTCGTGAGGCAAGGTCCGACAGAGTGTGTTTTGCATATACAATGTCTGCTGAATTGGACACAGTCTGAACAGACCCTGAAACAAATGCATCCAATACAGAGAATGCAGGTCTATATTATTTGGCAAGTCTAGATTACTGCAGTAGCATAAAATGAAGAAAGTCTCTGGGCTCCTATTTATTATATTTTAAAACTATAATTTTACAACTGTTTTTTTCTGTAAAATATGTACATTTCAGAGACTAGATGCAAGTCATCGAGTAGGCGTGGCATATTAAGAGACGCTTGTACTGGAGAATTCATTGACAGGTTGTAACAGAATGAGTTTGGGGTGTGACCATTATGGGCCTATTAGGACCAGGTAGTACAGAGATATTTTACCGGTTGTACTGGGCCTACTCACGGGGTAATGGGTGACAGAAGGCGTATAACCAGGCCAGTTGTCATGGCAACTAACCAGATTGGCTGTACTGGTTGTAATCAAGGGATCAAGACAAAATATGAATTTTGATATTCACCTGCATGTTAAGTAACTTCAAGACTGACCTACGCTCTCTCGTATGGGCTACAGACATGTCAAACTTGATGGCCCTGTACTGTCTACAGGTGTCACACAGGTGACACTTGGGTGAAGACACGTGAGGTATCTCAATACCAAACATTACTGAAGATCAGGTCAATACAGATATAAGGATATTAAAGCAATAAAAATACAGCAGATTCAATACCAGGAATGTATTCAGCGATGCGTATAGCATCTTAGTTCTACGACCTAGTAAGCACCAAGGAACCCGATCTTGAAGGGCATTTGAACGTAAGACTTGTATGAAGCAAAGTACAAGAGATCTATTCGACCTTCAGCTATGTCATCATATATTCAGTGGTTTACTTAAGGACGCACTCGTGTAACCAGTTCTACTGCTGTACTGTCATGAAAACGTTATAGTCATATTAAAGCAAAGCTACACCCCTTTACCTCCAGCCTACCCCACCCTCCCATCCGCCTCCACCTTCCCCTCCCCTCCGTCTCACCCCTCCTACCCCCCCGTCTACCGTTCCATCATTCTCTGCCGCTCCCCATAGCGTTACCGTGTCACAGCTGAACTGTCAGGGTAGCGTCAGCGTCTATAACTTTGAATAACCTGTGATAACCACGCAAATGCTAAGAGCTGACTCAGCAAATTGTTTTGCACTAGAGCCAAGGTGTTGTAATCTGATGTAAATGTATTATGTTAAAATGGGGTGTTTGTATAGTCTAAATTAATAGGAAGTCGTTCAGACATTCAAACTGAAGTTTACTGCCTTCGTCGAGAATCCTTCATGCGTGCAGAACATCACCTCGGATGTGGTGTTAGATGAAGCTCTGATTTGCTTTTGAAACCTATTATTCACGAATGTCAACACGCCCAATTATTAAAAGCGTATTGGTGAAATGACATGAACATTTAAAAATTCTTGACTCAGTGTTACACCACTCTAAAAGTAAATTCTATTAGTTAAGTACGCGTTGAGGGGCGAAGTAAGAAGTGGAAATCATTTTGGTCCTTTTTGTGGCCTTGGTATTTAAAAAGTTTAGGTCTGTGCGTATAAATTTAAACGATTTGTTTAATGTCTTTAATACATCATCTCGTTTGTCTAGGTGTTCAGCATTCACCTGTTTGATCTGTCATCGTCACCCCTGGAGTGAATCTTCCTGATTGACTGGCACCACGGAGAATAATGCTGAAAACAGAAGAAAAATATATACATATTTGTTGAACCATTATTTATGCATACGTGGTATTAATCAATTGTTGGCGACAGAAAGGGGAGGTAACTCTGGTGGAGCTCTAACTTTCTTGATGGAATGCTTTAATGTCGTTGTACGATCCGCGCGGCACTTAATGAAATGGGAACCTAAAACATGAAAAACAGACATGGAGTTCCACTGTGTAATTTTCAGTCTGGTAGTGTACTTTATCGTGACTACCAAAAGGTGCAGCAAGGTATGAAGTGATATTCATAAACCTTGACTATTATTTGATTGACAGTAACTTTCGGATGTCAGATGATTTGTATTCACGGACATCCTGTGCATTATGGACAACAAGCACCTACCGCTATTGCACGCCCGGACAGACACGTGTCCGCACGTGCATGTTCACATTCCACATTCGTGGAAGCATAATCAAAGATTTCAAAAGGGGTTGCTTACAAGGCTGTGCTCTTTCCCCCTATTTCTCTATTCATATTTCAGAGATTATTCAAACATTCCTCTGCTAGCTCTAGCGGCTGTTTTCTAAGGGTGTGTGTTTGGACAAGCCTCGCTTGAGTTGTTGCCAGGCCGTTTCAAAAGACTTCTGTGGAAAAGCTACCGAGCGGCAAAACTTCCATTTCATTTTGATGTGCAGGGTTTCAATACTTTCATGGGGCAGCTCGCTCATAGCTCGACGTGAGAGGACTAAGAAAGACGCGAGGGTCGCCTTTTAGAAAAGTCCATTGTGTAAAGGACACTAGACAGGCCATCAAGGTTTACTCTCATAAATAAAGCCCCTAACAGACATTCAAAATCTTTCATTTGAGATTTCAAAGGGCAAAATGAGAGAAAGGGGTACATCGTGAGAACGCTGCGAGAAAGTGGGTCGGGCGAGCTCACTTTGCGACTTAATGATTAATGCTACATCTACCAAGAGAAATGTAAAGAGAAGTCCGCAATACAAGGCAGACCATTTCGACAACTGAAGCAGACTTTCATTGTATGAAATCACATGATGCGAGTCCATAGCTTCTGAAACTACCCTTACCGTGTCTCTTGTTCTTTACAAATAGAAATACATGACTCGTGACTTAATCATTATTGGGATGATCTATCCTTTAGATGAACACTGTTTTATGTAAATTTAAAATGATATTCATAGCAAACGCGTTGAATTTAATAGTATGTATTTTGATGCCCAGCATAAACGTTTGCCGACATGATACACACAGAGACTCACATGCGCACTCACATTGATAACAGATAACAACTTGTTACATCTTCCCAATGCATCAAACATAAGTGACCCTGAGATCTAAGGCACCGCATATCTCTGTGCAGGTTGAAATGTCATGGCCGTACCAGGACCTTCTCATAATTGGATCCGCGAAAGCAAAATTTGTACGGATGATTCTTGTTCCCTGAACATATATTATATAACAAGTGCCAGTTTAGACTTCATCCAAAGTAAAGCTGACACGCCATGATAGAAGCGAAATACTAACTGAATCCGATGGTCAGACTCGCTGACTTTTTGATGCAGTCATCGTATCCCCAAATGCCAAGATCGACGCTCATGTTGTCACTCACTGGATTGTCTGGTCCAGATTCGATTATTTATATAGCTAGAATATTGCTGCATGTGGCTTTAAACAACAAAATACCCGAAAGAATGGTCACAGCGGCGTTTAAGCTAACCCACTGACTAAAGCACAACGTATATCTGGGCGACTGCCATTGAGCTTCCTCGTGTATGACAATGAACTGATAGGAGTATCACATGACTATCCCGACTCATGCTCATGCTTTCCCAGTAGTCTGACACCAGCAGTGGACATTCCGTGCTGCTACACACACTAGGCACAGTAACGCAACACCAGTCCACGCACTGTTAAAGTACATGCCTCAGACTCTTTGTGCAGTACAGTAACAGGTGAGGTGAAAGGGGCTATAACTTCGCGTTTAAGATTATTGCCCTCATATGGCGACTTGCATACACGTGCGTGTTTGTGTGCGTGTTTGTGTGCGTGCGTGCGTGCGTGCGTGCGTGCGTGCGTGCATCTGCTTGTACTATTCGGGGGTTATAGTGTTTCACCACTTAGATACTATGCCGCAGTTTAACATGGGTTTCGTTTAACCACTAGAAAATATTAATCCTTTATCATATTTATATATATTTATATACTTGTCACATGTTTCATTTCATGCTTTGAGATGGACTACGCTATACTTTGCTTAATCAAATCAAAGATATCTAAAATACACACACCATAAAAGGGGACGACTGAAATAGCAGTTATCTCCCCTTAACGAAATAGCATTGATCGTCCAAGTTATCTCCCCTTCATAAATAAAATATATGACAAAACGTGAGCCGTACATGTTTTATAATGTGTCTCGTGTTGGATTGTTACTGTGTCGTAGGGTACTGATGCGACAATCTAACCATGCGACGACTGTCTTCTTGACAGGGGCCTGTGGGAGAATGTGGCGTAGAACCGATCTGGGCATGCACTGTTAGTTTTAATACAAAAGACCACCGTAGAAATCTCAGACACTATCATGCTGTGTAATACAGGATTGCATTAACAGGATGTAAATCAGAACAACATAGGGATTCTCTCATGTCAGACGTCTGATCATGTTACGCTGATACTGCATGTAGATGCATACATTAACACTCCCCCACCCTGCATTGTCATGAGGGGTCATGGAGAATGGGGGGAAGTGTGAGTCATACATCTCTGGGGATTTATTACACTTTAATGTCTTCTTAAGAAAATATAGCACGTCATGTAGGAATCCAGTATCACCTGTTTGGTGGATATTTTAGGTTAATTTTACAGTTATTGATTCCTCTAAGTAACTGACACATTATGCTCCCTGAATCGCGAGGTCAGTGGTTTATATTGAAATTAAGGGCGGTCCACTAAGTTCCGAAACTTGTTATATTTCACAATTTGTATCTCATCTTACAGCCTTTATACTTTCTATTCACAAATATAAATGGTACTTTGCTGCTGCATAACATAAGTACACATGATGAAAATCTAATGGAAATATGAAAATGGTTAAAGAAAATTGAGATAAGTGTATCATCAAAATATTCAAGAGTGATTTGTGATATAATAACAATTTAAAACTTATACGAGGCCATAAATATACATTAACTAAAAATTAAAATATTTCCAGCTTTGTGTATTCAACGTTTAGCTGTTTCAAGGATGCAAGACACAAACGTATATTGTCGGAAATTCCCGAACCGTGAACACCATCATCCTGATTGGATGGCAGAACTGGGACAGGGGTCGTCTCAAACGTTCGAAAACGAAACCATGGTTGTTCAAAAATATGTAAGTGATACCATAGCATACGTCATCTTTTAGAGTCCTTTCGAAAAACATTTTAGATGGTCTCAAGGACCTGCACACGTGACGAGACGAGGATGAAGTGTTGCTGTAGATGCACGCATGCCTTCCCTTGCTCTACAACAATAGCTGGTAGGTAAGGCTATATCCCACACATTCAGATCCCATCTCATGTTCACCTCTATTTCGCTCCACTGACTGCTTTTGGTGATATTTGTGGCTATCCAATGTCAAGCTACCCTGAAATGTGTCTTCCATGGGAACTGGGTAGTCCCGTGAATCCAGTGAGCTTCTACCCCAGATCTGCTTCCTTGTACATGGTATATGTCACTATGTCTAGATCTGCCTCCTTGTACATGGTACATGTCACTATGTCTTGTTCATTTCGACTAATAATGGTGGCGTTGATAATGCCTTTAGTTTGAAATCTTTCTCAGTTACAAATCTCTTGAGGGTACATTCTTAGACAAAGGTCTCGAAGATCGGATGGTACAAATGATGCCAAGATAAAAAGTATGAGACAATTGTTCCCTTATACAAAGATTACAAGGTTTGACAAAGAACTTTAGACCTCATCCAGCCATGTCCCAGAGGGTGCCTTGGCAAAGAGTAGCTAAAAAAATTAGTATTCCCTTGTAACAAGGTTGTACTGTTGGGCAAAAATGAAACCGATCTTCATCAGCCATTTCTAAATGGTGCCCAGAAAGTATTAATATTGTTCTCTTGTGGAAAAAATGGTAGGCACTGAAGATCTGAATACTAGTAAACATACTTCAAGTGGTGTGTAAGAGGTTGTTTGTCTCTTGTAAATGGCGGTCATATTATGTTAAGCTTTAAAGAACTGAATGGAAATGTTGACAATAAGCCATGATGTAAGAGAGCGTTGTTACCTTGTCAAAAAGTGCCAAATGAGACAAAGTCTTGAAGATCTGATCAGCCATGTTGCAAATATTTCAAGAAAAATGTAAGAGATTGTTGTTACCTTGTGGATAGAGTGCCAAATGAGACAAAGTCTTGACGATATGAATAGCCACGTTGAACATGTGGCAAGGCAAATGTAAGAGAATGTTGTTACCTTGTTGAAAGAGTGCCAAATGAGACAAAGATCTGAAGTTGCAAATAGTGCCATGTAGGTACATACTATTGTGGCGTATGGTACATGGAAGGGCAGAGGGACACGTTTCCACACCAACTACCTCCATATCTGATCCTTGTATCAATTCACAAAGGAAAGACAGATTGTCATCAAAACATATCTCTGTTGGATTTCGTTTGATGACTGCCTTGACGTGGAGAAGGATAATGGCTGTCACCCAGAAATAAAGCAGTTATTGAATATCAGATTCCACGATGTCCTGGGAACTGCCCGGTGGTCAGTGTTCATTGTGTGCACATAGGTACCGCTGATATGATAGATACACTTCAAACACAGGGTCGTGACCTCAACACTACGTGCAAATGTAAAGAAATCTCCCTGAATAAGATCTCGATTGATGAGCCTAGTTTACACTTGCCGACATGTCGCACAGACTTGATGCCAAGATGCCAAAGAGTATTTTAATTTGAGAAAATTACCGAGACGAGACTGGTATTATTTTTCATACATGCGTCGGTGGAGT